TTGATTATTTTCTTGCTTAAAAGGTTCTCTTTAATTTAGCAAGATAGATCCGAAATTAAATGGAGAGAAAAGATATTTTAAGCAAGCCGGATTAATCAATCTTGGATTTACGGTGCAGTTCTCGGACCAGTTCTACGGCTTGTTCCAGAGCACGACTTAAACTCTTTTCATGTAGTCACTTACAACCAAAAGTAACACTAGTCGTTTGTCATCAACAAAACAATATGTTCCAACAAACAACGCCGCAGTTGTCTTACAAAAATTATTTGACTGCCTTCCCGATTGATTTTTTAGTTGAAATTTGGTATGGATAAACTAGACTTGATGAAGAACGTCCTCAAAAAATTCAACCAGAAAGTGCCCGAAATGTCCTTGTCTGGACGGCAGTTGCCGTCAGGACAGTTGGACATGAAGTTTCCTCTGTACGTAATATTCCATCAAAAAACTTTTTCTACTTTTCAATTTGTAATAATTAATTTAAGACAGAAGCTCTCGATGCATGGGGTTTTTCTACGTATAAATTTAAGGACAAGAGTTTGTCCCTGCGTAGTGGAAATTGCTTCCCAACCTTCCATTCTTAAATGGAGACTCATGTAGGTTTAATTTCTATCGCATGTCGAGAGCTAGGTTTTCTCTCACTTATCGAGAGTTGGGTTTCTTTTTCTCGCGCATGTCGAGAGCAGTGTAATGCCGCACTTATGCGCATCCATTTTTTTTGACATTTTGATCGAGTGCATGGTCAAGAAAGGATAATTATGATTTCTATGAATGATCTAGAGCAGTGTTGTCCTATTCCAACAATTGAGGAGGAGGTCGAAGGGATATTCTTGGAGGATCAACATGGGTGGAGGGCGGTGGAAGTTGTGCAGGCAGCAGGGGCAACGAGCAGATGGGAAAAGGTGAAGGGCTGAGCAAAGGAGAGGATAGATCGACGGTCCGCCCCCCTCCTGAACCGCCGCCTTGGAGTGATCGAGGGGATAGAGTTTGGAAGATTCATCGGTTATTTTATTTTTTATGGTCTTATTTTCACGTTATGTTTTACGTTGCTTTGTTTTTTATTGATGTTTTTAGTTTTACGTCTACAGTAATGATTGACAATTCTGCTAGCTAGATATTATGTCATTTGAAGGATCCATATGCCCGGTGATTGTTGTGTCACACCCGTTTGGTGGTTAGCGATTCATATTGCTCTTTCAGGGGTTACCGTCTGTGAGTCTAGCCGCAGGGTTGATAACACTAGTTGGTTACAAATAATTATTGTAAGTGTTGGTCCCTTTTGAGTTTGTTGTAACGATCCGAATCATAATGATATTAATATAAGTGGGTTTTTTTTTTAAAAAAAATGTAATAAATTTCGCCAAAAAATTCACCAACAAATTCCCGGCTGTCAAGCTAAGGTACCTTATTTCGTGGCGCCAATGACACCGGTCGCGGAGATAATGATATTGATGGCGGCGACAATGACACTGATGATAGTGTCATAAGAGTTATGTCTCACATATTTGTGCATATACTACGTATAAAGTTAGTCACGTTTATTGAATTGGATTTCAATATACTACTCCATTTAGACAGGTAGTAATATTCAAGGGGAAATGCCAAATATTAAGGTACTATAAAATATAAATATTGACAAGGTCATAGCATATAAAAAGTCTTATTTTTGGCAATTTTTAAAATTTAGTCATATATTTATCATTTTTTATAGGATAACATTTATTTATTAAAGATATTGAGAGATATTTTTTGAGAAGTATTGTTTAAGATTGTTTTATTTATTTATGGCTAGTATATTATTTTAATTATGGTAGCTATTCCTTAGCCTAATATATACTCTGTATTACGGATGACCAGAGAGGGGTGATTGGCATCTTCTTGTATTTAAAAAAAAAGGGGTTGTTCGGTTTATGAAGAAGCAAGAAGAAACATTATTACGTTTTTATCTTTTTCTTCCTAATAGCAAACCTGCACAAATCATAAAGTTATTATGATATCAGAGAGGTTCTTGGGTTAATCGGTCGCAGATCACTTTTTCTGATTAACCATCGGCAGGGATGTCGACGGAAGAGGAAGAATATACGCCGGCGACGGAAATCGATTATACTTCTTATCATAGTTCTGGAGCACCTCACGGGAAGCCTCTGGCGAAGGTGCACGCTGTTGTGGCTGAAATAGTGACCAAGCAGCAACATAACAGTGAAGGAGGTAACAACCAGACTACTCCTCTGCCGGGGTTTACACCCGAACAATGGAAATTTTTGCTCTCCACATTTGGTAATTCACTCTCTACTAACGGTCGCATAGCCGGTAAGTTTAATAATAATGCTTGGATTATTGATACCGGTGCCACAAATCATATTTGTGGAAATCGGTCCTTATTATGTGATATTAAAACCGTTGAACCATGCTGTTAAGACTCGGGGTTCCATCCTAAAAGGTCAACCTGTTAGGAGGAGTAGCCCGAAGCTTAATATAGCACTCTAATGTTTCTCAATTTTCCGGTGTGGGACATTTAACACCCCTCCTCACGACCAGACACTTCGTCTGGATCGTGCAATCATTCATTTTTTTTTCATCGGTCCGTTTTTTTTCATCCGGCCATTTTTATAATCGTGTCATCACGATTCATAAGGGGCCCACACCATGGATCGATTTGGCTCTGATACCATGTTAAGATCCGGGGTTCCATCCTAAAAGGTCAACCTGTTAGGAGGAGTAGCCCGAAGCTTAATATAGCACTCTAATGTTTCTCAATTTTCCGGTGTGGGACATTTAACACATGCTCCGTTGGTCTGCCAGATGGACAAACTGTTTTGGCTACAGAGGAAGGAAGTGTGTGGTTTACAAATGATTTATATTTGAATAATGTGCTTTTTGTCCCAAAGTTACATTGTAATCTTATATCTGTATCTCAACCGAGTGATAAACTTGATTGTTTCGTTCAATTCACTTGTAATTTATGTGTTATACAGGACCGTCCCTCGAGGAGGCTGATTGGAATAGGTGAACGGCGGAATGGACTGTACTACCTACGGGAGGAACCAACAACACATGTGTTGACAATCAAAGAGTCAAAGAATGTTGTAGCAGATTTGTGGCATCAAAGGTTGGGTCACCCATCTTCTCAAATAGTTGAAAATTTGGCTCCCGTAAGTGGATTGAAAAATTTTGGAATATCTCCTTGTGATATTTGTTTTAGAGCTAAGCAGACTAAGGATTCTTTTCCTACTAGTTCGAATAAAACTCATGATGCTTTTGAGATGATACATTGTGATTTATGGGGCCCATATAAATCTCCTTCTTCGTGTGGTGCTAGACAATTTTTGACAATTGTTGATGATTATTCCCGTGCTGTTTGGGTTTATCTGCTTCTTGATAAAAGGGAGGTTTTCAAGATGTTTCTCTCTTTTGTTGCTATGGTTGAACTTCAAATTTCTAAGAAAATAAAACGTGTGCGAAGTGACAATGGGACTGAGTTTAATTGTTTGAAAGATTTTTTCCGCACTAGTGGTATCATATTCCAGACCTCTTGTGTTGGTACACCCCAACAGAATGGGCGTGTTGAGCGTAAGCATAGACATATATTAAATGTGGCACGTGCGTTGAGATTTCAGGGGAACTTACTCATTTCTTTTTGGGGAGAATGTGTATTGACTACTTCTTATCTTATTAATCGCACACCTTCTGCGATTCATGATTACAAAACACCTTATGAAATATTGTTTGGTGTCCCCCCTTGTCATAAACCTATGCGAGTATTTGGATGTTTATGCTATGCTTTCAATATGAAGTCTGAGAAGCTGTTCTGTTCGTCATAATCTTATTACTTATTGCTTATTCTTATTTTATTCAGATCAGATCAGAAAAATTTAGATCAGATCAGATCAGAAAGATTCAGATCAGATCAGAATCATTCAGATCAGATCAGAAAGATTCAGATCAGAAAGATTCAGATCAGATCAGAAACATTCAGATCAGATCAGGAACATACAGATCAAATCAGTAACATTCAGATCAGATCAGGAACATTCAGATCAGATCAGAAAAGTTCAGACATGATTTATCCTTTTTATTATAATACTAATTATAATAATATTTATAATATTTATAATAATTATAATAATTATAATTATTATTATTATTATTATTCCTGATGTTGTTATTGTAATTATTATTATAATTAATAATTTTATTGATATTACTATTATTAGTATTATTATTATTATTCTTATTATTACTGTTGTTATTGTTATTGTTGTTGTTGTTATTATTATTATTATTATTATTATTATTATTATTATTATTATTATTATTATTATTACTACTATGATTACTAAGATTATTATTATTATTATGATATTTATTATTACCATGATTATTATTATTCTTACTACTAATATGGTTGTTGTTGTTATTGTTATTAGTTATGTTTTCGTTATTATCATATTATACGGAGTAATTACAATTAAAATTATAGAAATAAATATTATAATTATAATTATAATTTTTATAATTATGATCATAATTATAATTATATTTAAATTATATATGTGTAATTACATTTATAATTATAGTAATTATAATTGTAATTATAATTTTAGAAATATTCAAATCAGATTAGATCAGAAAGATTCAGATCAGATCAGAAGGATTCAGATCAGATCAGAAACATTCAGATCAGATCAGGAACATTCAGATCAGATAAGGAACATTCAGATCAGATCAGGAACATTCAGATCAGATCAGGAACATTCAGATCAGATCAGAAAGATTCAGATCAAATCAGAAAGATTCAGATCAGATCATATCAGAAAAATTCAGATCAGATCAGATCAGAACTTAAAAAATTCATATCAGAAAGATTCAGATAAGGTGAAGAGAACAGCTTCTAAGGGTGACAAATTTCTTAATCGGAGCCGAAAATGTGTATATGTGGGGTATGTTTTTGGCAAGAAAGAGTGAAATGTTTTTGATCTAGAGACTCAAGAATACTTTGTGTCCCGTGATGTAAAATTTTTTGAACACATTTTTCCATTTGCATCGGATTCCTCTCCTCCAGATACTTCTCACTCGCCACCTATTTTTTCGCCTAATGATTATGATGATCCCTTTTCTCTTGGATATTCTGGTGATTTGAATAAAGGGGTGCAGCCACTAGTACATAATGAATTCACGTCCCAAGCAAATGGGCCACCCGATGAGTCTTCACTTGATGGGACATCATCATCCTCAATTATGGCAGAGGACACACCTCTTGTTTCCCAGTAGGAGCAGCCAGCTCCACTCGGCCGCGGACAGCGCACACGCATACCTTCGGTGCGTCTCAAAGACTATGTTACGCATACTATTATTAAAAACAGTCCATTCCCCACTCCTCCTGCTTCGTCACCCTGTTCAGGTACGTCGTATCCTATAACTCATTATGTTACTTGTGACTCTTTTTCTCCGAAACATAAAGCTTACTTGGCAGCTCTTAATTCTATTACGGAGCCCCAATCTTTTCATGATGCTGTTAAACATGATGGATGGCGTGATGTTATGAAGGCCGAGATACAGGCACTTGAAAATAACTCCACTTGGAGTCTTGTTCCTTTACCTCCTGGAAAACGTGCCTTGGGTTGTCGCTGGGTTTATAAAGTGAAGCACAAATCTGATGGCACTGTTGAACGGCTGAAAGCTCGTCTTGTTATTTTTGGGAATAGGCAGGTTGCTGGTCTCGATTATACAGAAACTTTTGCTCCGGTTGCTAAAATGGTGACTGTGCGAGCTTTTCGTGCCATAGCAGCTTGTAAGCATTGGGAGTTACATCAAATGGATGTACACAATGCTTTTCTTCACGGAGATTTACATGAGGAAGTCTACATGACTATTCCTCCGGGCTATAAAACACGTGACACCACCTTGGTCTGTAGACTTCATAAATCCTTATATGGACTTAAGCAGGCCCCGCGGTGCTGGTTCGCAAAATTGGTCACTGCTCTTAAGAATTATGGCTTTCTTCAGTCATATGCTGACTATTCTTTATTTACTCTTACTCGCGGTGCCGTCCAGCTTAATGTCCTTGTTTATGTGGATGATCTACTTATCTCTGGAAATGATAGTGCTGCTATGGGCAGTTTTAAATCATACCTGAATGCATGCTATCATATGAAGGATTTGGGCTTTCTGAAATATTTTTTGGGTATTGAAGTGGCCCGCAGCTCTACTGGTATTTTTCTTAACCAAAGAAAATATGCCCTGGATATTATTACCGAAACTGGTCTTTTGGGGACAAAACCCGCCTCTTCCAATTGAACAACATCACACCCTTGGGACGGCTACTGGACCACCTCTCCTGGACCCTGAACCATATCGCCGTCTTGTTGGTCGCCTAATTTATTTGGCTGTCACTCGCCCGGACATCACATACTTCGTGCACATTCTCTCTCAATTTATGCACTAACCTCTCAGCGAGCATTGGTCCGCTGCCTTGCGTGTTGTCCGGTATCTCAAAGGGTCCCTTGGCCAAGGGATTCTTCTTCGTGCTGATAGTGACCTTTCTCTTATTGGCTGGTGTGATTCTGATTGGGCTGCTTGCCCCATTACACGTAGATCACTCTCTGGTTGGTTGGTTTTTCTTGGTCATTCACCTATCTCCTGGAAAGCTAAGAAACAATCAACTGTTGCTCGTTCTTCTGCTGAGGCTGAATACCGCTCCATGGCGGCGGCAACCTGTGAATTAAAATGGCTAAAGGCACTTCTTTTAAGTCTTGGAGTTCAGCATCCTCAGGCTATTCCATTGTACTGTGATAGTCAATTTGCCCTTCATATTGCTCAAAATCCTGTCTTTCATGAAAGGACCAAACACATTGAGGTTGACTGTCATTTTGTCCGCGACGCTATTCAAGCCAATATAATTGCTCCCAACTATGTTCCTACTACCATTCAACTCGCTGATATCTTTACTAAAGCACTTGGCAAAGCTCAGTTTCAGACTCTCCTACGCAAGTTAGGCATTTTAAATCCCCATGCGCCAACTTGAGATGGGGTATTGAGAGATATTTTTTGAGAAGTATTGTTTAAGATTGTTTTATTTATTTGTGGCTAGTATATTATTTTAATTATGGTAGCTATTCCTTAGCCTAATATATACTCTGTATTACGGATGACCAGAGAGGGGTGATTGGCATCTTCTTGTATTTAAAAAGGGGTTGTTCGGTTTATGAAGAAGCAAGAAGAAACATTATTACGTTTTTATCTTTTTCTTCCTAATAGCAAACCTGCACAAATCATAAAGTTATTAAAAGATCTTTTAATTACTGTCATGGTCCCCTTAAACACTAAATTGTACTACGTACATATTTTCTCATAAAATTAAAGATTCATAATTAGAATTAAAATGTAATGCATTTCATAATTAAAACTAAAGTATCATTTTTATGATTTTATCTTATAATGAAACCCATTCACAAGGATTATCGTTTTTTTTTCTATGAGGAGTTGATCCATGGGATCGTATTTCTAATATAATATGAAGTAAGAATAGTACTACGTATTTTTCCTCAAAAAAAAAAAAAAAGAATAGTACTACGTATTATTTATGTACATTACCCTTTTGTTTACGCCTATATTTCATCTTTAAAATAAATATTATACGCAGATTTTCAAGTGCAAATTGAATACATTCGCTGAGTGTATGGCGATGTCTAATTCCTCACCCTCGGGTGTCATGTACCCACTATGACGCTCTTGAATACCTACGTTAGTTATAGCAAATGGTGGGTGAAACATTAAAAATGACCTTTTCACCTTGTGAGTTGCGAACGTGCTTTCAGTTTTATAAAGGCATTTCCAATTGTCCAATGCACAAGTCCATTGCACATCCATATCATCAAATGTAAAGTTAAAATGGAAGTCTATTTTTCAATGCAAAATAAAGTGGTTCCATTTTTAGGTGACTTGACACTTTATAATTTGGAACAATGTCCGGGAGAAGGTCCATATTGAGACCTTGGGTCTCACCGTAAGGTCTCACCGTGTGACAAAGCCAACAAGGCATCCGTAGGCCTCCAGTTTTTCCGGCCATTCATTTGCATTTTTACTTTTTATTTAATTTTCCTTTCTTATTTGCATTATAGTTCAAATTGAATAGACCCTAGTTTTTTCTTAATTTTTTGGTCCACATTTGGAATACACTATGCTTATTACTTTGTCATCTCAGCAGCAATTCACAAGGGCATCTCTAATGAATGGGTGAATTGGGATTCCAACTGAGCAAATGCACTTTCTATACCTATATGTACTCTTCAATGGTAATATGAATGGACTCCCAAATTCTGACTTGGCAAAGCACAAGGTCCAGAGAAGGGCCTACAGTGAGAGTGTGAGACCCTCGGTGCCACCTTTTGACACACATCCAAGCAATATACAAAGCTTTTTTCTCTTTCATCAACTCTTTATATTTTATTTGCTTTTCTCCATTCTCCATTGGAGCATCCTTCAAATGCACCTTACTTTTCTTACTCATATTGGGTCTAGACCTACTCCATTTATTAGCCACATAAGCACCAATGCACCCAAGCATTGTAGATGCTCTAACACACACACACAATTAGACATGTCCATAGTTCTAGTTATACCAGAATTTGAATCACCGGGTTTTGAATCAAAATCGTTGGTTTTTGAACTGGAACGACATATTACTTCCGTTTTGAAATTGAGGGTTTACTATCCCAATTCAGTTCTCCCAAAAAATGGAACGGGGACCGCCAGTTCTGATTCAAAACCTTTTTTATAATTAATCATTTATAAAGTGAAAATGTATGATTATGATTGAGTAAGAAAAATGTAATGAATTATAGCCCCACAAAACTTTATGAAAGGGAAATGAGAAAGATTTTTTTTAACGTTCCAAAAAAGAAAGTGCAAAGAATTTTATGAGACAGAGAGAGAGTAATAGAAATGTATAATCACAATAGCAGTAATTGTACTAATAATAGAAAAAACATGTTGCACTCTTCACATAAAACTACACGAAAAATTAAAGGCTATCAGCCTATCAGATACATGTTTGCTAGCTAGTCCGACTGTCCGAGTACTTCGCACACATACCAATGCCCGTGTGCCCTCAACTAGTGTCTACAATAGATCAGTAAGACATTTTTTATTTATGACATCAAACTTTCATTCACAAATTCTTCAAATATTTTATTTATTACCTACTTAACAAATAAATTTATTTGCACAGGAGGGTTCTGGAGGCCGCCGTGTATGTAGGGGTGGACTGAACCGGGCCGGTTCGGGCCTCGGGCCTGGGCCCGGCCGGGCCTCGGTTCAAAATATTGAGGCCCGAGCCCGAACCGGGGGTGGCCGGTTCCGGGCCGGTTCCGGGCCAGACCGGGCCGGTTCCGGGCCGGGCCACCCGCCCTATTTTTTTTTTGTTTTTGGCTTCTTTATTTAATCCCCTACCCCTCTTTCTCAACCCCAAACCACCTCAAATGGACCAAAATACCTAATCTAACCCAAAACATAAAAAATTTTCAAAAAAAAAAAAAATTATTTCCGGCCCGGACCAGGCCCGAACCGGCCGGGCCGGTTCACCATATGGAAGGCCCGGTCCCGGAACCAGGAACCACCAGGCCGGTTCGACCCGAACCGCCGGTGGACCGGGCCACCGGGCCGGTTGCTACAGTGGCCGGGCCGGTTCCAAGTCGGGCCGCCCGGCCCGAGTCCAGGCCTACGTGTATGTAAAACAAATTGGAACGTATGGACCTAGACAAAGACGAAAAGGAGTTATTTTTAAACTATTGTGTAAAAAGGGGTTCAGAAGTGCTGGTGGTGAATCTGGATGATGGATCCCAAAGACAAGATTTTATGTTATTTTTTCATCCATTTGATGATTGCTCATCAATCTCTTTAATCCAGATTTTTATAGTAAACAAAGGTTCACTTTAAGGCTACTGAGTTGAACAATCCAACTATCCAAGAACAAGAAACAAGGCAGAAAACAAATACAAATAATTGATGTTCGAGACCAAAAGTTTTTTCAAAAAGTTCCAGCTTTGATCAATCATGTTTTGATCAAACCCGGTAATAATGTTACATAAGATCCTAGTCTGGTTTTGTCAAACGAAAAACCAGAACAAGGTGTTAGGATTAAAATACAGTAGTATAAGATAAATTATGATCCTTTAGTAGTATCGATCGAAACCATGACTACTAGTCCCAATGGCTGAGGTCGGGACCATGCTATTTAAGGTTCTGATCTAATCATATCAAATGGAGGAGCAGAACCGGGAGTCCACTGGTAGGACTGTGTCCAACCACTTCTCTACCCCTATCTTCAGTGATCCTCAATGGTTTATATATGTAGTCAACTCCCTAATAGGGATGGATCATGGATGGACAGGATGCTAACCTCCATTATGCAGAACCAATAGGCACTTAGAATCGTTAAACGCCTATACAATTATACGTAGTACGTAGTATTAATTACTACATCTGACTAAAAATGAGTAAATTTTCTAGTACTGAAAACAACATTACATCATTCTCAGTTTTTGGAGGAACGCTTGGAAATACGTTTGGGGAAGTCAATTATATAGATTTTCTATTTGTTCTTTATACAGATCTGTTACTTTGTCTCTCTTAACTTTCATTGTTGGAGTCAACAAACCATTATCAACCTGCACAGCCAGAAAGCAAAATGCCTAAGCAATTGCTACATCTTTGTATAGTGAAATGCATGGCTCAACAGGCAATTTTGCATACCGTAAAAGGCTCATCAATCACAAGGAGAGGACCAACTTGAAACATGCAACCTGCCGTCCTGGATTAGTTGAAACAAGCAAGCACGGCATGTCTATCAGGTGCGATGACTATTTCAATGGTTGCAACCACACAAATGACAACCAATTTGATTTACAAAAAAGGAAAATGACTAAAATAATATCCGCTTTAGAAATCACAAATTTGAGCCAAAATAATTTAATATATACCAAAAATAAAACAAGCAATTATTGGGCAAGAAATCCGGCTTAGTGCTGTCATGATTATTAGAGG